TTAAAGCGTGATTTTCCACCTTTTATTTTCCTATGGGGTAGGTAGTTTTTGGTTTTCCACCTTTTTTTTTTTTTTGCTTTTTGTTTTTTTTTTTAATTTTTGGAAATGAGAACAAATTCTAGGAACATTTGTAAAAGAGGATATCTCTGAAATTAACAATTTTCATGTAAAACAAAGTCAAACGAACACCAAAATATAGGTGATTTTTTTATCTTTTTTTTATCTTTTTTTTTTTTTGGCAATGGAAACAAATTCTAGGAATAATGGTAGAAGTGAATTTACCTTAAATTGACAATTTTCATGTAAAACAAAGCCAAACGAAAGCCAAAAAACGCTTTTACTTCAACATTTTTCATGTAAAAAATTATACCAATCAAACATAATAATTTACAATTCCCAGGAAAACAATTTTTAGGCAATTCAATTCCCTGCAATTCATTTTCTTTCCACCCAAATTCCATCTTTACAATCAAACAGACCCCTACAAATACAATATTTATCCGTCTTTTTTACAATATTTACAATTATCTCATAATTAAATAAATAATTACATACACAATATTTATCTTTTTTTTTTTTTTACAATATTTACAATTATTTTACAATTAAATATACAATATTTATGGATCACAATCGAATTCATATGAATCGTACGTTAACTTATTTTTCCAACTTTGTATCCAGAATTGGTTGATTATATAAACTTTTTGTACTGCACTAAAAAATTCAATATATTTTATTATAAACATGCCACAATTGCCCCTATAATTAAATAATAAATGTGTTAGTTCGGTATCGTGTGATGAAAAACTAAGTTATCAAATTAAAAAAATTATAAATACTTACAATCTCGATTGTCTCGTCATCTTCATATCCCGCACGATAGTTAGTCTATCTTGCACAATCATACTACTTTTCTAGCCATCAAAGGAACGATTACAACCATAATGGATTAAAGCATAATAATATAAAATTCAGCGGACCGAATTGTAACTATTATACGTAAAAAATTAAATATTAGAACCTTCAACAAAAGATAATGAAATACAGTATAATCTGAGAAAAATTAATTGAACCTAATTGTAAGTAATATATATAAGAAATATATTCATTTTACACCCATGCTAATTAAAAAAACTTAAATGATTTAATAAATTAAAAAAGAAACACAAAAAATTACGGACAAAACAAAAAATTAAAGAAAATAATAAAAAATAAAAAATATAAATATTATTTAATAAAAATTAAAAAACCAAAGATTCGTTTAAAAAGAATTTTAAATTGAAAAAAATAAAAGGGAAAAAAGATTTTAGTAATTTGGTTAAAAATAATATTTAATTTGGTAATTTTCAATTTGAAAAAAAAAATTAAAGATTTGTTTAAAAAGAATATTTAGTTAAAATAAATTTTAAATTGAAAAAATAAACAAAAAAAAAGAATTTGGTAATTTAGTTAAAAAGAATATTTAATAAAAAAATATAAATATTATTTAATAAAAATTAAAAAACCAAAGATTCGTTTAAAAAGAATTTTAAATTGAAAAAAATAAAAGGGAAAAAAGATTTTAGTAATTTGGTTAAAAATAATATTTAATTTGGTAATTTTCAATTTGAAAAAAAAAATTAAAGATTTGTTTAAAAAGAATATTTAGTTAAAATAAATTTTAAATTGAAAAAATAAACAAAAAAAAAAGAATTTGGTAATTTAGTTAAAAAGAATATTTAATATGGTAACTTTCAATTTAAAATTCTTTATTTAATTTAAAAAATTAAAAATTCTTAATTTATAAGTTTAAAAATATAAAAAACAAAAAATAAACAAAGGAAAATTATGAAAATTAAATAAAGAATATAAGTATTATTTAATTAAAATAAAAAATATTATTCATTCATATCGACATTTATAAAAAATAAATGATTTAATAAATTAAAAGAGAAAACAAAAAAATTACAGACAAAAATAAAGCAAGAATATTATAAAGTATTTTATATTGAAAAACTTAAATTACAGTAATAAAAAAACAAATAAGGACTTTTTTTAAATTATTAATAAAGAATATAAATATTATTTAATTAAGGTTTTAAAAAATAAATTTTATCATAAAAAGAAAATAATTTTAAATTGAAAAACAAAATCAAGAAAAAAATTAGGCAACCCAAAAAAAAAAAAAAAAAAAACTGTCCGACTAGGCCAACTTTCTCGTCAAAAATCACCATTTTTGGCAAGAAGAATGTAATTTAAAGCAAAATAAACACTTAAATCACGTGTGTACTCAATAATCTGCCTAAATAATGAAGAATAAACATTATAAATATCATAAATTCACAAATTTTCTAAACATATAGTAAATGAAAAATCAATTTCATGATTCCCAAAAAAATTAATGCTGTTGAAGATAATGGTGGGGTTGTGTGGTAGTGGGTGTTGGGTTGACTGTGATGATGGCTTCTTCGACTGGATCCCAACCGTTAAATTGTGTGAGTTTTTTCAAATTTCTTTTTTCCTCTACACTCAAACACTTGGTTGAAGATGATGGTATTTTTGGATTTTGGTATTAAATTTAATCATTTTAGCTCTGAACCATTTTATTATTATTATTATTATTAATTTTTTTTTATTTTTTTTATTTTTTTATGATCAAAGGCTATTAAGGAAATATGGCCGACTCAACTGGCCATTTCCTTGTATTTCCTCTATTGGATAATACGGGTGGGCCCAAAGTTTGAAGTGAAAGAAAATGGAAAGAAAAAAGGCTCGAGCCAATTACTAACCCCTATCCACGTTTAAATCGACAAAAATGGTGGCATAGTTAGCGGTACAGGTTCAAATCGACATTTAGGACACGTGAAGTTGATATTGACTATTACCTCAATATTCAAATTCAACAATCTACCAAGTTTTCGTTGCCATGAGACAAATCAAACAATCTTGTATGTCAAGCTCAATCTCTCGATCAAAATATTCTAATGTTACATTATCATAAATTTCAAATTTTGTGGTGTCTCCTCATATTTTTTTTAATGTCAAGTGAAGCAATTTCCCGAGCATATAACAAGTTAGAGCTTTTGAAATGAACATAGATCTCCGTGTAAAGTCGTGCATGCAGCAAATGGCAGTTTTTTCATTATCGAAATAATGTAGAGACTTTCATATGTCCTTCCCAACACTTATTTACTGAATACTGACCGACCAAACAAGAAATGAATATAAATCAGAAAATGAAACTATAGGGGGCAATTTGGAACTTATTTAAAATAATTAGAGGTTAAATTACAATAATCAATATTTTGGTGGCGAACTGAACAATAGTAATACTTCGAGGACTTTCTCATTAACCATGACCAAAGCAGACACTACCCACGCCCATCATCGCCGTCGTCTCCACAATCCGCTGCCACCGCTACCCACCGTACGCTGCAACGATTAACATTATCTACTGAAAGCCCTATCGATGATCAGATTCCCACGTCCTTAGCCAACTATCGTAGATGTGTTGTTTATTCAATTCTAATCATGTTTATTCTACCCAAAAATCATCTCCAACATTTTCACTCCAAAAGGATTTTCTTCTATCATAGTCTCTCTTTAATAACCTGTCAATCTCACTCTCCCTTTTCTAACACTATCCACAATCACTCAAATTTGACTTCTCCTCCCAATTCCACAAATGCGCCGTTCCGTTTTAATTTTATTAAACTTTTGATCGCATCTTTCCCCAAACAATTATGGGTTTCTTTTTATTCTTCAAGAACATACAGAGGAACTCTGACAAGATCCTTGAGAAAGAGAATCCGTAAAAGGGAAAAAGCCGCAGCAAAACCAGTTTTAAATGAAGCCCAGTTTCAAAGGGCAATATCCCAGCTCCCACCTAGATTCACCCCTGAAGAACTTCATAACGTGATTATGTTACAGGATGATCCTTTAGTGTGTTTGGAGCTTTTCAACTGGGCTTCACATCAGCACAGGTTTAGGCACAATCTATTAACATACCACATTACCATAAAGGTGCTTGGGGCAGCCAAGATGTACCAAGAAATGGATGATGTCGTTAACCAGGTGCTCGCTATTCCTTCTATTGGTTCTGAGGCTCTTTATAATACAATGATTTATTACTTCATAGAAGCTCGAAAATTGATTCGAGCGATTAACATATACAAGCATATGCGTGATGTTAGGAAGTTCGACTGTAGGCCATCAATTAGAACTTACAATATACTATTTACTGCACTTCTGAGTAGAGGGAAGAATTCTTATATCAATCACGTTTATATGGAGACAATTAGATGCCTGTTCAAACAAATGGTAGATGATGGAGTTGAGCCAGATATTTTCAGCTTGAATTCTATGATTAAAGGATACGTGATTTCATTGCACGTCAATGATGCCCTTAGAATATTTCATCAGATGGGTGTGGTCTATAATTGCCATCCCAACTCATTTTCATACAATTATTTGATCCATGGGTTGTGTGCCCAAGGCCGAACAAATAATGCCACTGAGCTTTTTGAGAAAATGAAGGAGAAGGGATTCATCCCAAGTAGTAAATCGTACAACTCACTGGTGAACTCTTTGGCTCTTGAGGGGAAGGTGGATGAAGCTGTGAAATTCTTGATGGAGATGGGTGACAACCAAAGGTCTGCTGACTTCATCACCTATCGCACTGTATTTGATGAGATATGCCGACAAAAAAAGGTTCGAGATGCCATGAGGTTGTTGGAGGAGCTGCGGGAAAAAAACCACGTAGATGAGCATACATACAAAAAGCTTTTGTGTGAACTCGAAGATGATTTTCAGGATTTGAATGTCAGAATTCAAACTCAGGTAAATTGCAACTAGTTCCTCTACTTGTTTCTCACTCCTTCCCTGTCCCCTGTGGTGCATCTATACCTTTAATTCAGAGATTTCTGCTTCTGTGATTTGAACTTCGTGTAGCATACAAAGCCTTTTAGCTCCTGAAATATTTTCTGCAATCTTCCTGGTAGTGTGCCAATTGCACTCTTATAAGTGTCTGCACCAGTGCAGGTCATCATCATATTCATATCTTGCAGGAGAATTATTTGTTTTATGAATATTATGAACACACAAATCAATTCACTGTTCACAGTTCTGGTAAATCATTTTCTGTTCTATTCTGTTTGAATATTGTTAACATGATTTTAGTGGAATACTGTGCTCTAAACAATGATTTCGTTTGGGTTGGGACGTGCCACATCTTGCCTCTTCTCCATTTGTATCTCTGTATTTTGTCTTAATCTTATCTTGCACTTGCAGGCAATAATGTGAAAATATTGACATCCTTTTATTTTTCCATGTGTCTGCAGCCAAGCAAACGGGAGTATTTGGGACTATGAGAATGTGGTGCCATAATTTTGAGGGAACCTCCATCATCATTTGCAGGACCAATCTGACATTAGAAAATAGTTTGCAACTGTTCAATATTGGTTGAGCCAGGTTTTCGTCCTACTAAATCTCTGTTATCCAACTTTTGGACCTTTGTTATTATATTCATGTACATTTTAGAGTGAAAATTATACCTGAAATGCAGAAATTGCTGTTTATAATTCTTTACAGTTGTAATATTTTCTCTGGAGGAAGTTGATGGCTGATACTTGTGGATTCATAATGGCTCAAATAGAGATTGCTTTATTGACACGATAGAGAATAATAATATTAATTATGGTCCTAATGAAATCCAAACCATCAAAATAGTCAAAAGAATTAAAATTGATTATCCTTTAAATTTAGATCAGAGGACAATTACATTAGCATGTACATGGTTGATGTAATGTCATGGAGAAGGAATATATCTACTGCTAGAACAGAAAGCCAGTTATATCTGTCTGTCTCATTCAGCCTGTATAGGTCTGTTGAGCGAGGCTAAGCCTCC